TTTTTTAAATAAACTTTTTTTGTTTTAAACTAAAGAAATTTAAATTGATCTATTGAATTGCTTTAATTAAATTAATTTGTTGACTATTTTATGTTAATTAAATATTAATTAATAAAATATTAAATTAGTTAACAATTTTTTTTTTTTGAATAATTTCTGTTTAATTTTACATAATTGTTGGAAAATTAGAAGAAGAAAAAATGATAGTATTTTAGACTTATTAAGAGATTCGAAGATTTATTCAGTGTTAAAAAATAAATTTGAAGCGTGAGCAATAATAAATTAGGTGACAGAAGCACGTACATACATATATAGTCTTTCGAATTCGATGAAAGTGAAATGAAAATGTCTTAGTGAAAGGACTTTTCTCACGAATAAGAAATCACTAAAAAAAAAAGGGGGGCGATTTCTTTATAGCTACAGGATTTTTTTGTTTTCATCTAATTCTCTAAAGGTGCGAGGGCGCATATTCAATCAATAGAAATTTATGATTAATAGTTCTTTATAGTCCCATTGAAAGCTCCTTTTATTATTAAAATCTAAATAAAAAAATTAATTCAAAGTCAAAAAAAAAAAAATTAGCGAGTTCAAAAAAATAAATATTTCGAAATTTTGCAGAAAATAATTTATTTTATTTTCATTGAAAATTATTTAATATTTTTCAAACTGAGTTTTTTTTCATTTGTTTAAAATTTTGTCATCATTTTTTTTTTTTTTGTTAACGAGAACAAAAAAAAGAAAAAGTTGCGTATTACAATATTGCGACAGTCATAAAATGTTTATAAACCAGATCACGATTTGTATATGATTTTTTTTTTTCATCTACTTCCGGTATTACAACCACAAAGAAGTATAAAATTGTGTAGAGCATTGAAAAAAATATTAGTTACGCTTTTTTTTAAATATTGCAGTAAAAAAAAAATCTAAAATTAATAAGAGAATTTTTTAATTTATTTATATTTATAAAATTACTGCAAATATAAATTTTTTTTATACGCTATCCTACTTTTTAAGCGAATTCTTTATAAAATACAGTTATTGATGTTTCAATCATTCTATAATTTAATGTGCGTTTAATCAAATGCCGCAATTTTCAATTCGTGAGACTTTGACTGATGATGATGAAGAAAAAAAAAACAATGAAATAAAAAAAATATATATACATTGTTTTATGATTTCTCATGTATTGAGGAAATTTATGCATTATATCTAAAGAGGAAATACAAAACAGTTTTTTTTTAATCTTTTAATTGTAATCTTCTTAATAATTTATCGGATAATTAAATCGGAAATTTTTATCTAGGTCGATGATGATGTGAATAATGTAAAAAAATTGCTTTGAAATATTAAAATTTCTCGGTATTCAATAATGTCTTTCAAAATAATTTATTCATAAATTTAGAGTCTTAAAATAATTTTTTGTTATAGATTAAAAAAAAAAAAATTATTTAAAATTTTTATTTTCTTAGAATTTTTTTTTTTTAGAGAATTATTTTTAAAGTTAATTTCTTACATTATTCGACACCATTTTTTAAATAATATGACGCTAATATATTCTAATTTGACTAATTATGAAATTCGACATATAAAGAAGAAAAAAATATGAATAAGGACGAAATACTTGGTCATAGAATGGTCGGTTCAACTGACATGAAAGTACGAGGTTACTCTCTGACAAATATGGCATTGGTAACTACAGTGTTGCGACCTGTATTAATTTCTGACTTACAAATTAGTCATAATGTTTAATTTCAATTTCCTTTTTCAAATTATTATATTATTGAAAAAAAAAACAATTAACAAATTAATTTAATAATAATAATTATAAATTTAAACTACATGGAAAATAATATTTACCTAAAACAGCGAAAGGTTTCACTAGAATAACAAAAGATTCAAACTATTAACTTTTGCTATTACAGTGAAACATTTTCCTGTTCCAGGTAAATATTTTTTTCCATTATTCTAATTTGAAGAATATTATTTTTTTACACTGTTATTTAAATTATTATTTTATTTTTTTAAAATTATTATTATTTTTTTAAAATTATTATTTTTTTAAAATTATTATTATTTTTTTTAAATTATTTAAAAAAATTTTTTTAATTATTTTTTAAATACATATATGAGATTATGTATTTAAAAAATATTTTCTTTTAAGGGGATTATAATTTATTTTTTTTAAAAAAAGAGATTATAGTTTGTTTTTTTTTAAGTCAATTAGAGCTATATGTATATTTAGTTTGGAATTAAGAGAAAAGCTTTTTCAGACCAGTGAACTGAATTTGAATCCCTCGCAGTTTTAATTGGCAAGTGTATAACTCGCTCCTCATCATCCTAACAAATTATATATAACGTTGAATTCAAATATCAATTTATTCGTCAGTTTTAATTTGATTTTCAACGTTTGCAGAAAACGTTTTATATATACATATAGGGAGTAAAAAAAAAAAAATTGAATTACGTGCGCTCTCGTCAATAAAGAACTTTTCTTTTATTAAAATATTTTTCTTTTACCTCAAGATTAAAAATCTTATTTTAAATTTGAGCTTATGGTTAATAAAAAAAAAAAAAAAATTGCAAAGATAATTTTTAAAAAAATTTATAGACTAAAAAAAAATTTCATTTAGATTTGAAAAAATTTTTCGTTAAAAAATTTAAAATTTTTCTTATGGTGTAATCATGTTATGAATATCATATGGTACAAGGTGATGCACATTTTCCAATAATTTAAAATAATTTATAATAAATTTAATATTTATATATTATATTTATAAAAATTGAAATAAAATTCCTAATTAGTGTAAAATATTTAAAAATTTTGAATATATTTATAAAATTTTTATATCTCAGCGCAATTTATGAATTCAATTATAAATGGTCACTTCCCCCACTTTTCACTTCTCTCGACTTTGACACTTCCATTAACGTGTATACGTATATCAAAGAGGTAACGGCACCATTACTATATGTCGTTTAGTTTGTGATCGTGAATCGACAAGTGCGGTTGTCATTAAAGGTGAACAATGAAAAAAAAATATATAAATGTTTCAAACTCTGACGTTCAATATTCATGTGAAAATTTTTTCAATACGAAAATTAATTTTTTTAAGGATTAAAGAATTTTTCATTTTTTTCTTTTTAAAGTGAAAACAGTGGAAATGGACGTTAATTCTTTATAATAATTAAAATTAATAATATTGCGACAGTTTTTATTTTGTTTTTCTGAATTTATTATATTTATTATATTGCATTTATATTTATTCTTTTGTGAATTTTATTTTATATTTATTTTTTTTATTCATTTTTTTATTTATTTTTTTATTCATTTTTTTTTGTGCATATTTTATTTTGTATTCATTTTTTATGTGCATTTTATTTTTTATTTTTATTTTCATTATCTTTTATTATTTATTTTCCTTTTTTTTTTTTTATTTACATTTTAGTGAAATTGCATCTCGTTAAAAAAAAAAAAAAAAAATTGACCTGATAGTGTGAAAATTTTATTATTCGCGTGTGACAAAACGTTCAAATATTATTATCTTTTTTCATTTTAATATTTTCTCATTTATATTGTACCTTGTCATTTTATCAATATGCCATATCTCTCAATATATATAGCTTTTAAAAATCAAAGTCGAGTTTTGTAGGACAGTGGTACGATAGAAAAAAAAAAAAAAAAAAAAACCAATATGTAATAGTTGCCGGTCTCACATTTCCATGTCATTATTAATAGCTATTCATTTTTACTAATTAGAACAAATTTTTGTCTTCGTTTTTTTATTTCTACTTTATAATATTTCCTTTTTTATTTTAATAATAATTTATAATAATAATAATTTTTAATAATAATTTATAATTATAATTTACAATAATAATTTTTAATATTAATTTACTTTATATATCTAAAAATTTTTTAAATGACCTTTAAATTTTGCGAATAAATTTTTACATTGTTTGTCAGAGGTGAAACATGGCTTGCAATGATAAGTGATATCTTTAATGGTAATCTCATTTGCGCAGGGACAATGCATTCTGGGATTTCTAGTCCATTGCTATTCATCGTCTTTGACTTTTCGTACGTGTGCCCTCGATATCAAGGCTTTTAAAGAGGAACAAACGGTATTTTTTTTTGTGTACCAAAAAAAAATTTCCTTATTTGAGAAAAAAAAAAATTATAATTTTTTAGTTGCAATTTAATTTAATTTTTTTTTTTTTTGTAAGTTTTATTGCGAAAGAAAAAATTATTCATAAAAAAATTTCCCCAAAAAAAGAAAATAATTAGGAAAAAAAGAACTAAAATGAATTTTAAATAAAAAAAAAAAGAAAATGTAAATCTCGTCGCACAAAAGAGATGCAATTTTTTGTTTTGACATTTTCTAATCTCTCACATAGGTAAAAAGGATAATCTCTTTGGAAATCTCTTGCTAAACAATGAATTCTTTGAAGATTTCTCACAGGGGTTAACCGGAGATGTTTTTCTTCCCAGCATGAATTTTTCTCTTATACATAGTGCCGTTGCTCGCAATTTTTTTTTTTTTTTATTTTTTTGCAATGAGACATATACACACATATCATCCATATTAATCGCGTTGTCTCTTTCCTCAATTAGAAAGTTTTTCGGCATCATCAATTATATATGAATCTTAATGGAAAACAAAATACTTTTACTTAATTTAAATTCAATTTGAATTGTTTACATGTTTCTCTTGCGTCTTTATATACTAATTAATTTCGATTTAATTAATTTAACAAAAGATTTTCATTATTTATAAATTAGAATTTATTCCTTTCTTTTCTTATAATATCCATTGTTTTTTAAAATAGATTTTAAAATCGTTTTTAAAAATAATTTTTACTCATCTGATTTTGTCTCGAAAAAAAAAGAATTATTTCTTTTAATTTTGAGTCAAAAATAATACAAAAAAAAAGAGAATCATAAAAGCACTAGCAATTGAAGTTTCTTCTTTTTTTTGAAACTATTCTGATTGTAAAAACAGGTCTCTGAGGTACAGTAATGTATCTTTGAAAAAGACATTTTCTGCTTCGCCAACGAACCAAAGAATTTTTGTGATAAGAAGAAAAACATTATTCGACAATGGGAACGTCGAGAGAAATCGCAATTCTAAAAGACTTGTCGTTTATAACAAAGTGAAAATCACAGAGGAAATGATTCGTGTTTAAGAATGTGCGTGATTGTGTAAAAAAAAAAAAAGCTGACAAAAAAAAATAGTAACCGTGTGTTTAACAAGAAGAGTGCGAGAAAGGAAAACAAAAAAAAAGTGTATTTATGAAGGAGGAGATAAAAAATAAAATATAAAAAAGAAAAGGCAATGTTTGGTATAACGATGATGGAGCCACGTGAAAGAATTGTCGCGTGTTCACAATCGCCTCCTCATCATCAACAACATCATTATCGTCAAGTGATAAGAACGACAAAAGTTCATCAAAATTCGCGATGTACGCGCGTTGTCACAATTCAAGAGAAGGTTATCAGATCACGTCTTCAATTGGGATATTCAACACCAACTGCATTTCTTAATCGGTAATGTTTTGTGCTAAATTTTTTTTTTTCTATATTATATAATAATATTTTAAAACCAAATATTTTAAAAGATAGAATCAAAAAATTAAATGTGATACTTTTAGATACAGAAATTTAATTTTTTATTAAAACTAAGTTTTTTAGATCAATTTTAGATTCGGATTTTAGAATAGAATCAAAAATAGATTTTAGATTGAAATCAATATTCAATTTCGGTTAGGATTTTGTAATCAGATCAAAATTATCAAGAATTTTAATTATTTCTCAAATTGTAGAATACAAAATTACATTTTATAGTTTCATTTTGATTTGGTAGGAATAAAACTAATATATATACTCTTTATTAGCAGTTCTTCATATCAGATTTTGAAATCAAAATCAAATAAAATTTCGTTACGAATTTTGGAATCAGATTAAAATGAAATTTGACACTGAAAAAAGGGTTTGGTATTGTCAACCAAACGTTTGGTTGGTATTTAAACCAAAATTTTTTTATTGAATCAACAAAATTTTGGTTGTCTCAATCAAAATTTGTTTGACACAAACAAAATTAGAAAAAAAGGATTTTTGTTGTCCTAACTAAAGTTTGATTGGGACAACCAAAATGTTGTTGATTCAATAAAAAAATTTTGGTTTAAATACCAACCAAATTTTGTTTCGAGATGAGTAATTTTATGCCCAAAAAAAAAAAAATTAGATCCTTTCATAACCATTGTAAAATTTACTCTCTAAATCTGAATTAGTGAAAATATTTACTAATTTAAATTAGTGACTCACTTTTTGCTTCTGAATTAGTTAAATTTTACTAATTATTAGTAAAATTTTACTAATTCAGAAGCAAAAAGTGAGTCACTAATTTAAATTAGTAAAAAATTTTTACTGATTCAGATTTAGAGAGTAGGTTTATGCAAATCTTTTAGAATATAGCAAAAGAGATAAAATATTCTAATTTCCAATATTTTTTGACGTAATCATACAGATGACTTTGACTTATATATCAAATATAAAATTCAATGTGACAAGAAATTGAATCACATATATAATACATGAAGTCATTCAAATCAATTTTTATTACTAAATTTATAACTCAATTATACTTTTATTCTTTCAAAACATGTGAATTTAAAAAATATTTTGAAATTTGTCGCATCATAAAAAATTCTCTTAATTTTGTAATAATAATCGTTAAAAAAAAAAAATTTAGTTTCTTGTAATTTAAAAATTTTATTTATAGATTATAATATTAAAAATGTATAAAAAATAAAATGCAGTTAGATTTTTCAAAATATTTTAGTATTTTAAAAAAGAATAATAGAAATAATTTCTAAATATTAGAATAAGAGATTTCGTTAAAGAATATATATATATATATATATATTTATACTTTTAATCAAGTCATCTCACGATATGCGAGATTGAAGCTCCAAGGCCATTAGTCGTCCCTGTTTGAATGAAAGTGCAAGTTTGTCGATCGACCATTAAAATTGGTGGGCGTTTAATATATATTCAAGGGGGCATACATTTCTCACAAATTGACCATATATACCTTTAAATTACATTTTATTACATTATTATTATTTTTTATTTTCATTATTTTTATCATTATTATTATTATTGTTATTTATTTATTTTTTATTATTTTTATTATTACTATTATTATTATTATTATTTATTTATTTTTTATTATTTTTATTATTATTTATTTTTTTTATTATTTTTATTATTATTATTATATTTTTTTGTTACATTTGTTTATACATTATTTTATGTGGCAAGAAAAAAAATATATTGCATTTTAAAGGATATAACTAAAGAGAAAGAAATCTTTGACTTTTATCCTCTCTTTGCAATACAACCACCCACATTAACTATATATATATATATATACACGGAAAAAAAGAAAAAGTAACTTTTACTACTTTAAAAGTAAAATTGGACCTGTCCGAAGTTTCTGCGCATCTCTGGCAACTTTTACTCCAAAAATAGTAAAATTTACTTCAGAAATAGTAAAAATTACTACGGAAACAGTAAAATTTACTACAGAAATAGTCAATTTTACTATTTTTCGAGTAAAAGTTGCCAGAGATGCGCAGAAACTTCGGACAGGTCCAATTTTACTTTTAAAGTAGTAAAAGTTACTTTATTCGTTTTTCCATTTTTCTCCGTGTATATATATATATACACTTTTATTTTACAACATAACGGTTAATTCTGTGTTAATAAATTTATTAGCCATTTTTTTTTAAATGTGTGTGAGTATGATGTACATGACGTGAATTTATATATAGTTACGTAATAGACATCTCTCCAACTATATATAGTCATCTACCGCGAAGTGTACTAATTCCATTAGAATTTAAAAGCATCGAACGTATATGTATATATATATATATAGAGAGAGAGTGCAATTTTACAAAGATTGATGCACTGACGATTCATGAGTTTCCGGTGTAAAATAAGAACAAATTATTTGCTCATTCATTTGTTTCGGTAAAAAAAAAATTTTAATATAACTTATTACGATTTAACACTATAAAATTAAAAAAAAAATGTATTTGATTCAAATAATCTTGAATCAAATAAATATTTACTTGGGGCAAATAATTTTTATTTATTGAATTAAATAAATTTTACTTGGATTAATAATTTTTGTATTAGTATTTTTATTATTATTTTTGTATTTTTGTATTAATAAAGTCAAAAATAATTTATTTTTAATAAAATAATTAATTAATAATTTTTTTATTAGTATTTTTATTATTATTTTTGTATTTTTGTATTAATAAAGTCAAAAATAATTTATTTCTATATTTATTGAAAATATATCATTAAATATATAATTATTATTTAATAAAAATATTTTTAAAAAAGTATTGAAAAAAAAAATTATTAAATTCAATTTTATTTTTGCTTCCAGTAATGGAAAAAAATATTTAGATTTCATTTATATGATTATTATATAGATTTCTCATTTCGTTCTTTACTCGCGCGATAAGTTCGCATATTATATTTATTATATAGTTTTATATATATATAGAGAGAGAAAATTTAATTTATTATCATTATATATAGAAAGCATTATTTATTGCTGTCTTGCGAAAGATAAAAATATTAAATTATTTTTTATTGATTATCGTAAAAAAAAATTCTCGAGAAATAAACAATAAACAAATTAACAATTATTATATTATATATGCTTTTCTATTGAAGTTTTGTAATTAGATTTTTAACAGCTCATTAAGTTTTCAGTGTAAAAAATTTTTAATTACCTAATATATATATATATATATATATATATATATATATATATATAACAAATACAATTTCAGGAAAAATAATAATGAAAAATTTTATAAACTTTTTTTTTTATTTTTCTATTTTCTAATAATTTTGAATGACAATTTTTTTTATAATTTTCACAAAATAAAAATTTAATAAATTTTTTATTAATGTATTTGCTTATTATAATTATATTAAATTCCTATTATTATTGACAAATTAGAAAAAAAATATATATTTTTTTAATAATAATGGAAAAAAAAACTTTATGCATTCACTCGCTTTCTCTCAAATATTTTATCGTTAAATTTTCGTATACGCTCACCGTTATCATAAAGCAAGATTAAAATAAGTATAACCATAATTTTGATATTTAATGAAATCCTTAATGAAGTATAAGCGTGGAAAATGGGTAAAGCCGAGGGAAAATTAACTGGGAAATGTTATATATATATAGTTATATATATATCCGATGAAGGAATTTATATACGTCTTAACGGCGGAAATCTGTGTGCCATGAAAAATTCAAAAGAAGGAAAATTCTCTTGACGATGTGTAAATTGTATACACGTATATATAAATAACGAGAAACGAGAGAGAGAGAGAGAGAAAGAGAGAGAAATCATTAGAGAAATTATTAAAGCGTGCTCTTATTATAAAAGCATTCGTGCGCAGACGTTATATAGCAACACGAGTAATTATCATTTAGCAATTAACAACCGTTAATTGCTATTAACAGTAACCAAGGTTTAGTGTAAAGCTTTCGTGACTGTGATCAAGTAAAATTAGAAATTTCTCTCTTCTCTTAGAGATTTCGATTTACTTCAAGCAAGGATAACAGTTTTTATCTCTTTATATATATATATATATATATATATATATATATATATATATATATATATATATAAAACAATTGTTTCGAAAAAATAGTTTTTTAAAGTAAAAAATAATTTATTGTTTCGAAAAAATTATTTTTTCATTGCAAAAAATTGCAAAACTAAATTGGAAACTGTTTCCATTCTTTTTATTAACTCTTTATTTTTTATTTATTCGGAATTTAATTACATATCAATTGTTTTTAGGTATAATTACATATTTATTAATTTATTCATTCGTTTTTATTATTTAGCGAATTTAATTTTATATCAATTAATTTTTTTCTCAATTATTATTATATTAATTATTGTATTAATTTTTTTTTTCATTTCTATTGTCACTTCCACTTTTTTATTTTCATTACCGTTTCCACTTTCACTTTTTCTAATTCTCATTCCCATTTTCACTTCCACTTTTTATAATTTTCATGCCCATTTTCACATCCACTTTTTTATTTACATTTCCACTTTCACTTTTTCTAATTCTCATTCGCACTTCCATTGTGGGAAAGTGAAAGTGAAATGTGAAAGTGGGAATGAGAATTAGAAAAAGTGGTAGTGGCAATGAATATAAAAAACTGGAAGTGGAAATAGTAATGGGAATGAAAATTAGAGGAAGTGGAAGTGTCAATGAATATAAAAAAGTGGAAGTGAAAATGGGAATGAAAATTGGAACAAGTGGAAGTGGAAGTGAATGTGGGAATGAGAATTAGAAAAAGTGGTAGTGGCAATGAATATAAAAAACTGGAAGTGGAAATAGGAATGGGAATGAAAATTAGAAAAAGTGGAAGTGAAGTGGGAATGAGAATTAGAAACAGTAGAGGTGAGAATGGAAGTGCGAATGAG